TGGAGCAGTGTCAAATCATGAGTGAGCGTCCCCTGACTGGTGGGCTGCCATCCTTGCTCCCATGTCCTGTTGGTGGAAGAGCTGGAACTTCCCTAATGAGCCGGATACAATACATGGCTTCTAGTGGGGACAGCCATGGCTGTGCTGTCACAGCACTTCCTCTTCTGGCTCTGCCAGCTGCTCCTCGCTTTCATGGGCGTGCTGAGGAGTAGATGCCACTCACATGTCCTGTGCAGTGTCACTAGTGTGGGGACAACAGCAGAAGTCTGATCTGTGACAAGGAGCAGGGGCTCAGGGCAGCAGCCACAAGGCTAGTTCCCCGCCATGGTGGTGGGTGACCCTGGGTAGAACCACTTCGCTGGGTCGCAGGTATGGATGGGGAGGGTGGTCTTTGGCCACCCCTGTTGGATCCTATATTAGGGTTGGCCGGTGCGATGCGCTTGCTGGCTGAGCGCGGTGCAGTGTGGCCGGTCACAAAAACGACAAAAAAACAAAACAAAACAAAAAAACACATGTCCTGTGCAGTCTTTGGGGTGGAGACAACAGCAGAAGTCTGATCTGTGATAGGGAGCGGGTGTTCAGGGCAGCAGCCACAAGGCTAGTTCCCCGCCACGGTGGTGGGTGACCCTGGGAAGAATCACTTCCCTGTGTCGCAGGCAGGGATGGGGGTGGGTGGTCTTTGGCCACCCCTGCGAAATGCGTCTCAGTCTGGGAGGACTTTGACCCAAATTCTTGGTTTCCCTTCAAATATTTCTTGGTTCAGTTTTTTCTTCCGGGAAATGCCTTTGGCCCATTTTTCTATTCAGTGGCTTGCCCTGACGTATGATGTTGTAGGAGCTCTTTCTGAAGTCTGGAAAATAATCCCACCTCAGTTTTTCGTGTTTCAGATTCTTTCTCCCCTCGGGGGCTTGTTCCATCCACTCATTGCAGGGCTCTTTTGGACTGAGTATTTGCCTCAGCACCGTGAATTGTAAGTAACCCCAAAGGTCATGAAGTGTCCCACTGCCTGTCCCTGTAGAGGCTGTGACAACCTCAGATGAGTATCCCCTGGAGGACGTGCCCATGCGTCCAGCACTCTGCCCAGTAGAGATGGCTCCTTCATTGCTCTCTTGAATTCATTCGTTCACCCTGTAGGTTTCATTTGGTGTCCTGGACTCACACCGGGTCATGTTAACACACAGCGCACGCCCACAGGAGAAGCCCAGGGCAGCTGTGCAGTGCGTGAAAACAGCCAGCCTTGTTTCCTTGTGCCCAGCCACTCTGCATATTGTCTTCGCTCCTGAATCCCGAATCTGGCCTCTTTCTCAGACCTCCCTCTACCCTTTTCCTGTCCTCTCTCTCTGCTGGGCAGCTCCAGTTTGGGGTTTGGCTGTGTCTCTCTCAACACGGCCCGCTTCACATGGTACCACCCTGAGAATTGTATTCTTGTTTTGTTTTAGTGACACTCTGAGTGGACAAGAAGAAGCTGCATCCCAGTCAACCTGCAGACACAGGCGGCCACTGGGACTCCATTGGTTAGGTGTGGTGCCTAACACACAGATTGTGGAAGAACAGAGTTTGAGCCTTCCAGGTTTCTGTGAATTTCTGTTGCCTGTCCTCCTCACCCCATCTCCACTCGCATTCATATTACAAACCATTATATCAACCTTTCATTTGGGTTGTGGGAGACAGTCATTTTCATGTTTCCATGACTCCAGGCTCTTCGGTCTGCCTGCATTTTCTTCTCTACTATATGTCCATTTCTGTCGTTTATAACAGGACTACCTGAAACTGGGTAATCTGTAAGGAAACAATATTGGTTGCTTCCAGTTTCAGAAGCTGGGAAATCCAAAGTCCAGAGAATGCATCTGGTGAAGGCCTTGTCAGTAGTGACTCTACACAGTGATGCAGTGTCTCACGTGGCCACGTGGTGGAGCTGAGAGAGAGCTAACCTCCTCACTGGCTCTTCTTTTAAAGCCCTCAAAACTACACCCATAACCATCATTGAACCATCAATTGGATTAATCCATTTACTAGAGCATGGTCCTCACAATCAAATCACCTCTTCAAAGCCCCACCTTTCAGTTAGAATAATAGGATTTCCCACCCTCTTAAGACTGTCACAATGGGGATTAAGTTTCTATTACATGTATTTTGGGGACACAGTTCAATCCACAGCATCTACTCTCCTCTTCTGTTAGTTCAGTCTTAGTGCAAATAAACAACAACCTGTGTGCCAGACACTCCACAGCTGGAGGGAGGGATTGAAAACGTCATTCCCTGACTGAGTGACATGTGGTCCAGCTTATTTGTTTACATGATTCAGGGGGGGGGGGGGGGCTAGAGGACATGTTGTCAGCCCATAACCATGGTTACGAGGCCCAAATTTTCTGATTAATGTGCTCTACACAGAAGACCCATTCAGCAGACTCTATATTCCTGCACATTCCCTGTGGCAACTTTGGAAGGTGTAGCAAAGTGTATGAGAATCAGGAACAAAGACCTGTCATAAGGCCATTTCCCAGAGGCAAGAATATTTGTAACCTGGGCGTATTATCCCCAGTTCTTTTTCCATGGGTCTTTTGTTTATTCCGTTGAGTTTATGCTGTATTACAGTTTTGTCTTGTATTTTTCATTTATATTAACCATTAACCCATATTCTGAAAGTTTCCTCAGAAGATTAATCTGATATCTCACTAGCTCTGCAGCTCATTGTGCAGTCTATTGGATTCCAGCCTCTTCCTGCTCAAGAGCAACAGACAAGTCCTGATGGAATGGGCCATCATCCTTTGGATCTCGTGACATACTTTGTCCAGAAACTTGAGCACAGCAGGTGTTCATGAAGCCGACTTTCAGATAGAGTTTACTGAGACTCCAGGTATCAATGTCAAATTAGACAATGTGTCCAGCAGCTCTTGATTCTGCAGCATTGAGTCAACCAGGACATAGCCGTAGGTCCATTTGGGAAGGACTGGGGGGTCATTCGAGCATGTACTTGCCATGGTGCTGTAGTGTCCTTTCCCTGGGGACCCGGCCACCACTCTAGTCAGTGGGTTCCAGGTCTGAAAACTGGCTGAGAGACAAACTGGACAAGGGATCCTGACTTGTTTGTTGGGTGGCTGCCCTCAGCCTCCTGCTCACCCATCCTTGCTCTCTTCGAGTGTCCATTTTAGGCTGTACCTCTGTTGACCACACATTCCTTGTGCCTCTGTTGTGGTGACCATCTCTCTCATTCTCTGTTGTCCACGGTGTTGATCATCATAACCACTATCTTCTGGCCACTCGGTGCCATTCAATGCCACCCCAACCTCTACACCTACTGCTGCTGCTGCTGCTGCTGCTGCTGCTGCTGCTGCTGCAGATGGAGAGGAGGACGAGAAGGAGGATGAGATAGAGGCAGCAACAGCAGCCCTGTCAGGGCCTGGTTCTCAGTGAGCCTAGATCTGTAACAGGCTCTCCTTGGTCAGTCCTGGCCTGCAGAGGAGATCACCACTGACTTTCTGGGTGAGGCTGGGATCCTCTCTCCAGTGCATTCCTGACGCCCTTGGTGGAGCATGGGTCTTCTGGGCCCTCTTGTGGAACATAATGCTAGGGGTGGAGGGGTTCTGGCCTCACCTAATCTGTCCAGTTCCAGCAGGCCACTGCCCTCAGCCATTGAATCCCCTCCTTTACTGTCTGTCCTGTCAATTCCAGCCTTTCAGTGTCACTCCACATGGGCCATTGCTGTTTCCAGACTTGTAGGTCCCGTCCCTGCAGTGAGTTTGCACCATCCCAGCAGCAGGGTCCTTCCAGGGCATTAAGTTCTGTTTCCCAGCAGGGTGCCCCCACGTCCCTTATCAAGTCTTGGTTTCCAGCCCCGTGGTTGAGGACCCTGTGAGTCCCATCCCATGAACACCCCCCAGGCCTCTCCAGGTGCATGCTGGTCCTGTAGCTGCTTGGGAGTGTCACCCCTTCCTCCTTCGCCAGGCCCAGTACTTTCTGCCTGTGTTGTGCTGTGCCGTGACTTCACTGTAGGTAGGGGCCTGACACTGGGCTCCTCAACTCTTCCTACTTTGCCTGGGATACCCCTGGTTTTAGCACTGCAGGTCCCACAGAAAACTGGGACAATTGGCTACCCTACCTGGCAGCCAGAAAGGTGCAAGGGCAGCTCCTAGGAGGGAGGGCACCTGTGGGAAAGACTTGTGTAGGTCATTTTTCTTCCTTGGGGGTGGGGTGGATGCGCTGGCTCTTAGTGGGAAGGGGCAGGCGCAGCACAGATGTTTTGAGCCATGTGGGGAGTCCAGATATTGGAAAGCTTCTCCCGGTTGTCCTTGTTCCGTGTGTCAAGGCCACAGGTTTTCCCAACAGGGAATCTGACGTTGGCCACTAGACCTGCCTTGGTTAAGCATCCAGCCATCTTTGGAGTTCACCCTTTTCATCAAATCCTGGCTTTGACCTTCAGCTTTCACTGCTCACCCGCTGCCTGAGGTGGGGGCTACTCTGTAAGCTACCGAGAAAACCCAGTATTTCCAGTTAGTTTTCAGGTACTTGTTAATCACCCTCAGCTTCTCACGGATCTCACATGGGTCACCAAAGCAGCGTTGTCACTGCCATCCACCATCCATTCTAATTGTCATTCCCACACGTTCCACGTGCCTGGATCTCCTCACCTGTCAGCACCTGTGCTCTGCCCTGCAGACGCTTCCTGGAGCGGCTCCCTCTTGGGCGTCAGACAGCTGCCTGGCTTCTGAAGGGGCTGTGCTGCCAGGACATCTGCGAACAGGGTGTCTCGCAGCGATCAGTTTACACCAGTGCAATCTCGGCTGATGGGCGAGGGCAGATCTGAGCATAGGATCCCCACGGCACAGAGCAGACTGAAGTCAGCGGGCAGCCCTCCTGTGTGAGGCTCTGAGGGAGAAACGGGCGAAGGGCAGCCTGAGAAGTTAGATACAGTTGGGGAACTGAGGTAAGGCTTGGGGTGGAGCAGGCCCGTTAGTGGAGCAAGGTGGTAGGAGATGAGGCTGGGAACTTAGTTTGGTCTGATTCATGAAGGCCTCCCAGAGGAGTCTGGGCTGCACTCTGGGTGCAGCAGATCAGTGCCCTCGCTTGGGGTTCAGTGTGAGCATTTTTAAAGGCAAACTTGGTTCTTTTCCTGAGAATTCATTGGTTCACCCATTCAGCTCGCGAGTCATTTGCCAAACCTTTGTGTGCCTCTGATGGGCCTGGAGTGTAGACGACAGGGGCACAAAGATGACAAGGTGCAGCGTAGTGCGGCTCAGGAGCAGCCTTCAGTGGATGGGCAGATGGATGAGTGCTTGTCCCTGCTGTGTGTTCCCGTCCTGGCTGATCTGAGCATAGGGGTCTTTTCCTTTGGAGTAACCTTGAGGTAGCCACATCCTCTTGGCTTGTGACGACATTCCCGATTCGTGTTCCTGACTTTATAATGAAGTTTGGAGATCTGACATTAGGTCTCTAAGTACTGAGGGTTATTGCGGGTGGGTACAGGGTGAGACAGGTGTTGGAGTGGAGACTGATCCAGGTCCCCAGCAGAAAATCGATTTGCCCTGAGTGACACCCTGAGTCGCCCAGCCTGAGCAGAGTGGCTGCTGCTGATGACCCAGAGAAAGAAGGTGCGGTGGGGGTCTGCCCAGGCCCACTCCTGGATGGCCTGAGCTGCGGCAGTGTCCAGGGACAGATGGTGTTTGGCAGTGCGGGCACCTCACCCACTGTCTCTGGACATGCTGCCTTTGAAGTGGAAGGGTGGCCTGGGCATGTGGTAGCACCCAACTGGAATGTTCCCAAATGATGCTCAAGGAAAGCTTTAGGAAAGGGGCCTGCTTTGCAAGTGAAATGACAATGGCTGCTGTTTGACCACAATCATATGCTGGCTGATTCCTCATTGTGCCGTCTGCTGGCCGACTCATCCATCTTCACCTTTAATTCAAGGTGGTTGGTGAACAGAGGCTTTAACAGAGCAGTTTTCAAGGCAGAAAGTTACATGTGGTGCTTGGGGGTGGGGGAGTGAGTGTGAAAATGAGGTGCTCAGACTAAGTGTTGATACCCTGTTAAATATTTCTTCTCTCCTTTCCCTCCTCTAACCATTCCTGCCTTCTCCGTCTTTCCCAAGATTAGAAATATACATAACAACGGATGTTAAAACAAACAGATTCCTAGTGCTTGCTACCGTGAAAACACCGCAACACCATTCCCAGTTTCCTTGCAAGGCCTGTGCGGTGGGCCCAGGGGCTGACATGGGGAGCCTGTTGTTTGCATGCAGTGGGTCCATATAGCTCACACGCTGGAGCAATGCTTACAGGCACAGAGGGACTAGATGGCTGTGTGTGGCAGTGAGGTTGTGTAAAGGCGAGGGCCAGAGTCTGGACTTTGGTGTCTAGCAGACCTGGGTTTGAATGTCAGCTCTTCCTCTTGCTGTGTGACCTTGGCAGTTGCTCCTCTCTCTGTGTCTCCCTCTCCTCTCTTGTAAACCAGGTGGCACAAATGTCACTTGCTTCAGAGATGTTGCCAGCACACATCCTTGCACCTTGTGTTCTCTCCTGCTGGGACTCAGATTCTCAGTTTTTGCTTCTATATTTGCAGGTTGTGGATTATTCC